GGCCTGCGCTGTGACAAGCTGCTTTGGGAGCTTTCTCTTCCCCGGAACTCTGCAGCCTGATCGCACTGCATCAGTGACAGGAGCAGCTTTGGTCTTGGTTTTTGGCAGCACTTACCCACCTCTGCTCACTGACCAAGGTCCAGAGTTTATCAAGGTTGACAGTTAGGCAGATGTTCTGGTTCCTCTTTAGGTGGTAATGCCTCGAATCAGCTTTCCCAAAGGAACCTGGGTGAGATTTGTCAAAGTGGATCCTGTGATGAAGCAAAGCCACCAGCATGACCTCAGCCTCCTGGGTGCTTCCTGTACTTGCCGATGCGGCCATGGCCTGGCTCCTGTGGCCCCGAAGTTTCCAGGCCTTCAGTCTGGTTTTCAGTAAGCAGTTTTCAGTCTGGTTAGCATATTGGTGGTCGAGATGCAAGAGCCCAAGCTCACTCCTGTGGGCTTCTCCACGGCCTGCTTTGCAGCATGGCAGGTGGCTTCTGAGACAGAGGGAAAGAGAGAATATGAACCTCAAGATGGAAGCTGCAGTCTTTTTTAAAATGTTCAATTTAGCCTGGCCGGTGTGGTTCAGTGGTTGAGCATTGACCCATACACAAAGAGGTCACCGGTTCGATTCCCGGTCAGGGCACATGCCCAGGCTGTGGGCCCAATCCCCAGTGGGGGGCATGCAGGAGGCGGCCGATCAATGTTCTCTCTCATCGATGTTTCTATTTCTCTCTCCCTCTCCCTTCCTCTCTCTCTGAAATCAATAAAGAAAAAAAAATAGCCCTGGCCGGTTTGGCTCAGCGGTTAGAGCGTCTGCCTGCGGTCCAGAGAGACCCAGGTTCGGTTCCTGCTAAGGGCACATACCTCGGTTGCAGTTTGTCCCCGGCCCTGGTTGGTCGTGCGGGTGGCAGCCACTCAATGTGTCCCTTTCGCATAGATGTTTCTCTCTCTCTCTCTTCCTCTCTCTCCCTCCCACTCTATCTGTACAAAAAATGGAAAAATGTCCTTGGGTGAGGATTAAAAAAGAAAAAAAATATTTTTAAATAAATAAAATATTCTCTTTATTATTATTAGTTTTGTAATACATATCCTTTAAATGATCCGTAGGTATTCTATGGTCATAAAATATTTTTATTGACATCATATTTTTTCATTATATTTTTTGAATATATTATATTTTATAGTTTGTAATCAAGAGGTACTGACTTTTCCAGTTTTATTGAGATATAATTGACATATAACATTGTACAAGTTTAAGGTGTACAACATAATGATTTGATATATGTATGTATTGCAAAGTGGATTACCACAATACATTTAGTTAACATCCATCAACTCAAATAATTACAAATATTTTTCCCTTGTGATGAGAACTTTTATGATCTGCTCTTTTGCCAACTTTTAAACCTCCCAGTTATAAGATAAATAAGTTTTGGGGATGTAACATGCAACATGATGACTATAACCAACAATACTGTATTGTATAATTGACTTCATTTTTTAGAATAGTTTCAGATTTACAGCAAAACTGACAAGATAGTACACAGGTCCCCATACTTGCATTAGCTTGGTACATTTGTTACAATTCGTGAACAAATGTTGATACATTATTATTATTAAGCAAATTTGGTCCAAATCCCATCCTTTATTCAAAATTCCTTAGTTTTTACATAATGTCCTTATATCTGTTCCAGAATTCCATCCAGGATAGCACCTTACATTAGTCATCCTGTCTCTTTAGGCTTCTTTTGGCTGTGACAGTTTCCCTTTTGAAATGACCTTGATAGTTTTGAGGAATTACTTGGTCAGGTATTTTGTAGGAACGAAGTTGTTTTATAACCTAATCTTTGAAGTGAGATCCCATCACTCTGACCATCCTCTATTTGTTAGAAGTGAGTACTACTGAATCTCTTGAGGGGAGGAATATCAAAGAATTTGTGGCTATATCTTTAAAACCCCCATGGGTTGCCAGACCCCACCCCAGAGTTTCTGATTCAGTAGGTCTGGGGGGGGGGGTTGTCCAAGGGTTTGCTTTCTAACAAATTCCCAGATGACACTCTTGCTGCTGGTCCAGGGATCTTGCTTTGAAAGCCACTGAAGTGGGGCCTCTGGGCAAGACCTCAGTATGTACAGGAGTCGAAAAAAGTTCATCAAGATCTATTCATTTCTCTCAAGACCTGTCTCATAACTACAACCCACACTGAAATCAACCCACTGATTTAGCTTCTGGATTTTGCCAATCAACACAAAACCATTAGCTCAATGTATGTGTTGCTGTATAAAACAGGTACAACAATATCTTGTGTTTATATTAGATATGATTTATTTCATTTGATTGTTACAAATGCCAGGGAGAGAAATCGGGTATCTTCATCTGATCTAAGAAGTAACTGGGACACAGAAAGTCTAAGTGACTTGTTTAAGGTCGCACAGCTGGTTAATGATAGAATCAAGCTTAGGACTGGGTCATTTGAACACAATTTCTATTATAATTGTTCTCAACTTTTAAGATTTGCCACCTTTGGGACCATCATTAATAAAACTACCCACATGACAGCTTCAGTAATCAAATCAACAGAATACATAGATTTAAAGTAGCATTTTGTTTAGTGGAAAAGGAAGGAGTGAAACAAGTGATTTTCAAGCTCAGAAAGATCAGCAGCATTCGCTGTGTAAGTTGGGAAAACCTCCCTCTTCAGCAATATTCAAATTCTTCCTCCTCACGGACTCTTACAATAGCCACCAAGTACAGTCTGCCTCCAAGTAGAATCTGAGAACGTCACTGGAAGAACCACAGGCCACAGGTCTTCTTGTGTACCCATACACACCAACAGGATTGCTTAGCTTTGCTAGCAAAACTCCCGGTTCAAGAGGTTGTTAGTATGTCTCTTCTAGGCTTTGGTTTGAATGGAAAAGACCTGATAGTCTATATACTGTAGCACTGCCAAGATGACTTGAAAATCTAGAAGTGGGGGAAGACCATTGGATGTCTTTGAGTGTATGCATTACTGTTCTTTCTTTTTTTTTTTTTTTTGTTCAGATAGAGTAGGAGGGAGAGAGCGGAAGAGAGAGAGAGAGAGAGAGAGAGAGAGAGAGAAACATCAACATGAAAGGGACACATCAAGTGACTACCACCCACACGACCAATCAGGGCCGGGGACAAACTGCCACCGAGGTACGCACCCTTAGCGGGAACCGAACCTGGGTCTTTCTGGACCCTAGGCTGACACTCTAACCGCTGAGCCAAATCGGCCAGAGCTGCATTACTGTTCTTTAAATTCAAAGTAGAGATGCAATTGAATCGAGTGCATAAATATCCATTGAATGTACAAAAGCTAAGTAGCTACACACCAATATTCTTATTCAGTGAGAAAACCAGTCCAATCAAACCAAAGGAGCGGTTTCTAACTACATTTTTACCTTTCCTTAGAGAACATCCTGTCTTTCATTTTAATTGATGTTTACATGTCGCCAACAATAAAATAAGGCTTGATGGAAATGGTTAAAGCCAGCAGTATTTCATATATTCACATTAGGAAATAATGATTTCATATACTGAACCCTGAGTTCAAGTTCACTCTTATGTAGACAAAGAATACCCAACACACAGTATAAGCATAGATTTCTGTCCCAAAGTAGTGGTGCTGGTGGTGGGGAAGCTGTCCTACGGTGGTGGTGGTGGTGAGGAGGTATAAAAGATAGTGCCAATGACCATACATTTTTTTTAAGTTAATTTATTTATTTTTGTTACAGATGTTCCTTTTTTTTCACCCACTGATTCCCCCTCCCTCCTCCCTCCCCGCCCTGTCCCCAGCTTTGTTGTCCATGTCCATTGTTCATGCACACATGCATATAAGTTCTGTGGTTTATCTCTCCCCCACCAGCCCCTCTTCTGGGGATTGTCAGTCTGTACCCCACTTCCATGTCTCTGGGACTACCCCATTCCTCAGACTGTTATGTTCATTATATTCCACAAATAAGTATTATCCTAAGCGAAACAAGCCAAACAGAAAAAGACAAGTATCATATGATCTCACTCATTTGTGGAATGACCATAAATTTGATCCTTTCCAACAGTAATGGAGGTGGGGGCATGAAACAGAGTCAGTGACCTTACAATGAATCCTGCCCGATAGTGTTAGGGGGAGTGCACAGGAGGCCGAGGGGGCCGAGGGGGAAAGCACAAAACAGTCAATGACCTTAAATCTGATCCTGTCCAATGGTGCTGTTAGTGGAACAGAGTCAGTGACTTAACAGTTAATTTTGTCTAAAGGTGTTGGCCCCGGTGTGTGTGTGGGGTGGGGGGTGCTAGGGAACAGGGGCGGCAGGTCACCAAGCTGAGCCAATGACCTAACAATCCTGTCCAAAGGTGTTCCAAAGAGTGGGGGGGGGGGGGGGGGGGGGCCCGGGGGGCCAAGAAACAATGAGTCAGTGACGTTTCAGTTCCTTCTGTCCAATAGTGAGGGGCGGGCACGAAACCGAACCAGTGAGTTTACATTTGATTCTGCCTAAAGGTGGAGGTAGCGACGGAGAGCGTGAAACAGCCTGTCTAGTTCAGTGGCAAACTGAACCTGAGAATCAGAGTGTCAAGATGTGAGGAACACCTTGAGCGCAACAGCCAGCGTCCGGGGAAGGCCTCCCGGAAGAGGTGCCTTCGTCGAGAGAGGCCTGGAGCGGCGAGTAGGATCAGATTCCTTAAGTGGGCCCCAGGCCTTCTCCCAATCCCACTGCACCTCCGCCACCTTTCGGCCACTGAGGACCCAGTCGGGGGCGGGACCCGCGGCAGCAGCACTTGCCAGAGGGGCTCAGACCCGGGGAGCCAGGGAGGAGGGAAACGGCGCCCCGCCACAAAAGAAAGCGCAGGCGGTGGTAGCCAATCAGCGACCGGCGCGTGCGGCCGCGCGCCCCTCGCGCCCCCCGCTCCCCTCGGGCGCCGCGTACGTGCGGCGGCCGGCTCCGCCCCCGTAGGCGGGGCCTGGGGAAGCCGCGGGCGGCCGGCCGCAGCCAGCGAGCTGCTGCTACTGCTACCGCGGCGGCTGCACCCCGGCGCCGAGGCCGAGGCAGAGGCTGGGCTGCGCGCTTGGAGAACGTGCTGGCTCCGTGCCTCTCGTCTGCATTAGCCCCTGCGGCTGCCTGAGCGTCTCGGCTGGTGTGTGCACTGCCCCGGCGACGATGCGGCTGTTCCGGTGGCTGCTAAAGCAGCCGGTGCCCAAGCAGATTGAGCGCTACTCGCGCTTCTCACCATCGCCGCTCTCCATCAAGCAGTTCCTGGACTTCGGTAAGTGCGGGGCCCCGGGCCCCCACGGTCGCCACGGTCCCCACGGCCCCAGAGCTCGGTGCCGCTGTCCCCGGGCCCTTCGCCGCCGCGGGTCTTCGCAGCTTTAGAGCAAAGTCGTGGGAATCGCGGGAGGGTCTCCGGGATGCCTGGGGGCTCTCCCGGGGGCTCTGATTTCGGGGCGTGCAGGGACGAGGCCTGGTACACTGGTCGGGGGCCTACCCGTAGACACAGGACTTCATTCCGGGCGGGACTCCCCCTAAACCTGCAGGTTTAGCTTCAAATCTACTTGACACAGACCTCCCCGCCCTTAAAACTTCCCAGCGGAATGTGGGTGGCTTTTTAACGTTTTTATTTTTAGGTTTTTGTTTTGGTTGGGTAAGACCTGTTTAGAAACACCTTGAGGTCGTATAAATTATGCAATGGCATTTTGTTCCTTTCGTGCTGTAAGGTGCTTGCGTGTGGCTGGAGCAGCAGGACTCGAACTGTTGTCTTCGTAGTGTTACGTTAGAACAGTTAAGAGGCCTAGGCTGCATGCGCCTTAGGTGCTGAGGAAAAGGGGTGTGTGGGCTCCTAGCATCAGAACAGGGTCCCATACAACCCCAGTCTCGGTGCCAGCAACTTTGCTGGTGCCTCAACTTTTGTCCCACTCACCTTCTCCCCTCTCGGATGGGCTGGTGGGCAGCTTCCACCGACTGAGGTGGGAGCTCGGCGGACCCGGCCCCCAGCCTGCCTGAGGCCTAGCTGAGATGGGAATAGATTCCACCACCTTATGTTAATTGGATCGTGTTTCCCCCAGTGGTGCTTTTTCAACTGCTGAGCCAATACTCCTAATTGCTGAATACGAGGAAGCCTGTTGTGAAACACCTAAAAGTAAACCAAAAGTACTCACTCAGGTATCAGAATGGAACTCGGCATCCCTGAAGGAAAATAAAATGGAGCAGCACAGATGTTCTAAGCTACCAAGGGAAAATAACGCATTATTCACGTTTGTTCATTTCATGTAAATATCAAGGGCTGGTGTCAGGTGGACATAAAAACTAAAGTGTGGAGTAGGTAGAACACTCCAGGAAGACACAATATGCAAAATGTGATGTCCACACTTAAACTGCAATAGGAAGGGAGGAATAGGGTAAAGTTGAAACCAAATTAAATTTTAAGAAACCAATTTGCCAGAGAATGATGAGGAAAATTGAAGTTCAATGAGGTATTGACTTTTGCATCTTAAACTACACTCCCCAAAGCTTTCCAGTAGTTTTACTCTACCATCTCTGGCCACTTGCGAGAATTTTAGAGGTCTGAGGAAGCTTCTGAGCTTAGAAAGAAAATGTCACTGTTGCTGTAAATAGCATGTTTGCCATCTCTTAATTTATGGTTTAGAGAAGATTCTGAAGGTATCAACCTTTCATTAAGGTAAACTGAGCCAGGCTAATTCACAATAAAGAACAAAAGGAACCCAGAAACTCGCAATTCCTTTCTTCCACCCTCAAAGTTTAAGCCATGGCTCTAATAGCTTGGCGATATTTCACTTGATTTATTTGTACAGCAGCTAGTGTCTACTCATGTTAATAGGTGTCTTGGCAAGGATGGTATTTGAGTAGGAAAACCACAGTGGGGAATAGTGTTATCATGGAAAACCCATGGGACCAGTATCTGGAAACAAATGTTCTAATTCTTGCTCTGCCACTAACTCAAGAGTATGGCCTTGGCTAAGTGACTGAACCTCACTGGGTTCATTTTCCTCATTAATAAAATGTGTGGATTATATCAGGTAATCTCTAAAGCACAGCTCTAAAACTCTGTGATTGTAATTTCAAAGGAAAAATGATGAGCTTTTGAAAAGAAAATTTCCAAATCTTTTGATAGACATTTCCCATAAAAGGCCTCTGTCCTGGCCCTGGCCAGTGGTTAGGCCCGAGGGTTGAGGGTTCAAGTCCCAGTCAAGGGCACATTTCTCTGGGTTGCAGGTTCCATCCCAGCCCCAGACTGTGTGGGAGGCAGCCAATCAATGTGTCTTGTTCACATTGAAGTTTCTCTCTCCTTTTCCCTCTCCCTCCTACTCCCCCTCCTTCCTCCCTCCCTCCCTCCCTTCCAGTAATTTAAAAAAATCAGTGGAAAAATATCCTCAGGTGAGGATTAACAACAACAAAAAGGCTTCTGACCTGTTTTGGGAGGGGTGGAAGGATACACTAATTTTGGATACTGGATGAAACCTAATAATTGAAATCTTTTCCTTATAAGGAATCTCACCAAAGAGCTATAATAGAATTGTACAGTAGTAGAATTTCTTAGAAACTACAAGCTTGTTTGTAATACCCAGAGATGAACTGGGTGGCAAGCAGCCTACCTTTGATGATAACAACTAGAAGAGAGTTGTCACACACAGACCATCTCAAAGAATACCTTTTTCTTAGTTCTTCTGGCTCCTGACAGAAGTTCCATTTTGGCAAATGATGTGGGAGTTTTATAATCAGGAATGAGTGTGGGGGTATTTTCAAGGTGAGGAGGAAGAAGAGAGAAGAGGCTTTCTGCCAGTGTATGATTACAGAAAACTGCAGGGGAAGCCACCTCAAATGCTTCAAGGACTAGGAGGGGAGGAGCAAATGAGTCAGTTGGGTGGGGACAGTGGCACACTCCAGGGTATATACTGATTCCAGAAGGGGCAGCTGATTGGCATTAGTTATATATATATATATGTGTGTGTGTATATATATATATATATACACACACATATATATATTTTGTTTATTTGTTTTTTAATCCTCACCAGGGGATATTTTTCTATTGATTTTCAGATACAGTGGGAGGGAGGGATGGGGAGAGAGAGAGAGAGTGAGCACACGCTACAGTGACGTGAGAGAGATACATCAATTGGTCGCCTCCCACATGACCCCAACCAAGGCTAGGAGGAACCACAACCAAGGTGCCCTTGACCAGAATCAAACCCAGGACTCTTTGGTCCACTGGCCAATACTCTAACTGCTGAGCCAAACCTGCCAGGGCAATATATTTTTAAAATATGGTTTTATTGATTTTTTTTTTTTTTAGAGAGAGAGGAAGGGAGAGAGAGAAACATCGATGTGAGAGAGAAACATCGATCGGCTGTCTCCTGCATGCCCCCTACTGGGGATCAAACCCACAACCTGGGCATGTGCCCTGACTGGGAATCGAACTGGGACCTCTCAGTCCATGGGATGATGCTCAGTCCACTGAGCCACATTGGCAGGACCAGATCAATATATTTTTAAACGACCTGTGGCTCAAATGAAATAGATGCATGGGCCATGTTGGCCCATGCATAGCCCACACACTGCCCCTTTGTGAGCTTTACGACCTTCCCTCTGGCTACTTTACAAACTGAACATAAATTTTTGACCAAAGTAACTGGACAGGGACCAGAGAAGGGATATACACTGATTTTATTTGTTAATCCTCTCCTGAGGATATTTTTCCCGTTGATTTGAGAGAGAGTGGAAGGGAGGAATGGAGTGGGGGCAGAGAGAGACAGAGAGACAGAGAAACATCAATGTGAGAGAGACACATTGATTAGTTGCCTCCTGAACTCACCCCATCCAGGCCCAGGGATCAAACCTGTAACCCAGGTATGTGCCTTTGACTGGGAATTGAACCGTGACTCTTCGTTGTGTAGGCCAATGCTCTAAACACTGAGGAACACTGGCCAGAGCTATACATAAATTTTAATGCTTCAGTATTTATTAGAACCATGTCAGCAAGTACACTGTTGTTTCTATGGCCACTGGAATAGCTTTATTAGTACCAATGTACTCCTTGTTTAAGAGTGAAGACTAAGCCTGGCCGGTTTGGCTCAACGGTTAGAGCGTCGGCCTGCGGCCCAGAGAGACCCGGGTTCGGTTCCCGCTAAGGGCACGTACCTCAGTTGCAGTTTGTCCCCGGCCCTGGTTGGGTTGTGCGGGAGGCAGCCACTCGATGTGTTCCTTTCACGTTGATGTTTCTCTCTCTCTTCCTCTCTTTCCCTCCCACTCTAAAAAAAGAAAGATTAAAGACTAAAACTGTTTGTTATTTCAGAAGCAGTGCTGTTATTTTAAAGGACATTTCTCAATCTCTGCACTTTTGACATTTTGGGACAGGTCACTGTCCTTTGGGACAGGTGCTGTCCTGTGCATTTAGTGAAGCAGCATTCCTGGCCTCTACCCACTAGATGCCAGGAGCAACCTCAACCCTCAGGGTGTGACAACCAGACAGGTCTCCTGACAGCGCCATATCCCCTTGGGAAGCAAAATCATTCTCTGTTGAGCACCACTGCTGTAAAGTATTTAGATCAGTGGTCTGCATGCCTGGGCTCTGTCACCCCAACTTCTAATATAAACGGTTTGGGGGTGGGGTACAGGATATTGATATTTTTAGAAGATCTCCAGGTTCTGAAGCATAAGCAGGGTTGAAAACCACTAATTAGGTGGTCTGGATCTAGAGTACTGTCTCTCGTTCAACTGTGTGCCTTTTTTCCCTATGTCCTTTAAAATGATAAAAGTTTCTTGAACTCAACCTTTACTTGAAATACGGCCTTCCACACGGCAAAGTGCATAGCAAGAATAGCAAGTGGTCTAAATGGATCATGAGTTTATAATGGCAATAAATAGTGCTTTCTAAAGGATGGGATTTTGAAAAATGAAATTTTCTTTTTGGTCTGAGATTATAGTCACATGTTTCTGAATTCCAAAAGTGCCAAAGGACATAGACAGAGAAGTCACTTTCCCACTTTTGTCCGCTAGCCTCCCAGTTTGTGCATCAACAGCAGCTTATACTTTTGTCTGTGCTTTGCTTTTTAAACTGAATACCTTAGAGAGCTTTCCATAGCTGTATGGCTTCTGAGAATTTATTTATATCAGTGTGCGATATAATTCACTAGCCAACTCCTTGTTGATGGCCAGTTGGTTGTTTTGAATCTTTGCTGTGACAACCAGTGAGTGCTACAGTGAATTACTGTGTGCATTTCATGCATGTATGAGTGTATATATATAGGA